TCAAAAGAGACACAAACGGTGAGCACGCAAACAGCAGCGAGGCATCTATGCCAAATGCAGACTCAAACAGATTTGGCAACAGGGAGGGATGTGCATACGCAAACACTAGTAATAGAAACGCACTCAGTTAAAAATCTGCATACTAAAGGCGTACAAACCGCGATAATTGAAATGCATACACAAGGCACACAACATATTTCTACCACAACAACCCGGGGCACATCCACGTCGTGTTTCATCAAAAAACATAATGTTGGTACCTGTTTCCCAGAAGCTAAATTAGTTCCTCCAGTAACAGCAATGGTAGATGAATTATTACAATTATACAATGTGTCGCCGGTTAGTCCTATATCCGATCCCTTGCCACTAACATCACATAATGAATTGGAATTACCCACAACACCCGCTGCTGCACTTGAGTCTCTTTCATACAAGTCCATTGGCACGTGTACCTATTTATGTAATGTACAACGACAAATAGATTTTATTCCACTAGTATCCGGTATTAAGCGTTCAGAATCGAGTTCACCGTCGCCATTTACATTTGCTAACGTTAAGAATGAAGCGTACATGACACCAACTCCTTCACCACCACCATCGGCTACGCAGGCGCCTACAGTCCACAACAGAAACGATACTTCGACAAGAACAGCGACAAATAATAATTTTGGCAATATGCAGCCAATGTTAAATACAGTTGCACAGCTGCCTGATATGCCACCTGAAATGTTTTCCTCCGTTTGGCAAATGGCCGGACAAATGTTTATGGGACTGATATACCCACCAACGAATAACCGTCTACGCATTGCGCCTCAAAACAGAGCGCAAAACTCACTAAATCAAGAACACTTTCACAATTGGATATCTTCGCTGTACGAAAGCATTCATCAGCCCAACCAGCAATCAGCATCATCACCACCACCACATCGTGAATATCAGCAACAAGTCAATGGGAGTGAAAGAGATGTTGACACTGAAGCCGAAAATAATACAAATGTAGTTCAATCTAACAACTTAATACCGCGTGAAGGTAATAATTTTAGTATATATAGTTTAACCATAGATTCAAAGCAATATAATATTCCAGATACACCAGCGACGCAGGACTTCTACGATAGCAATACAAATGAAAGGATTGAGTTGCATCACCGTGATGCCTTTGGTACCCAAACAGATAATACAATATCGCCTAGAGGTTCAGATATATGCGAATCCCAGAACACTTTTGCAGATTGGATATTTAAAGAGCCACGAGAAATACCCAAAAAGTCTGCAAAGCAAGCTCGTGCCCGAAAGGCTGCTATGGAAGAGGCTTCATGTGTGAAAAAGCATCGGGATAAACTAGAGCGTAAAAAACGAAAGAAAGAAAATCGGAAGAGGCTAGCCAAGCAGATGACTACAACCGTATTCAATGACGAATTAAATGTTATATCCGATTTGGAATTAAATAATCAGCAACAGAATGAGAAAGATATCCCAACTGCTGTTGAATTTTGTGCCAACCTCTGTAACTTAAATAATTATTCGAATGATGAATCTTACTGGGATGAAATGGATATCGGTGTTGTAAATGCCAACCAATCGAACAAGCAAGATTTATCTTATGCCGTGAATATGGAAACTGAAAAATTAAATAATAGTGAAACTGGTGTGAATAATAATGGCGGGAAAATTTATGCCGATTTCGAGCTTAAGCAAAATGAAAAGATGGGGGAAATAAGAGAAGAGCAAGCAATTGCGCAAGATAATACATGCAAAGATTTTGTGCATGTCGGTTTTAAGGAAACTGACGAAGCGAGCAAAAGTATGGCGGGCGTAAATAATAGTTGCGGGAAGGTTGAGGTCAATATCAATTGTAAGCTGAATGGAAATATGAATAAAATAATAGTGGATGAGGAAGTAAAAGTACCTGATAACACACTGTTCGACAGTGAAAATGCAAAATGTGATAATTTGGATTATATCGAGGCGATAATCGAAACAGAAGCTCAGACAGAACCTTTGGAAACTGAAATAGAATTTGAAAAAAATGCGTGCTGTATATTTGGTAGTGATTCAGAAGAGGAAGCGGAAACACATTTAGCAGACACGCAAAGTATTGAATTTGGTGCGGGCAATTCAGAAGCGAGCATGGTTTTTAAAAAATCTGTAGAATCATTAGACAACAAAGAAAAACACGTGGTAGCAGAAAATATGGAGGAAGATTCCCGAAAATCAACAGAAAGGAGAGATGACTTCTGCGTAATTTCTCCAAACAGCGAAGAAAATGTAAGCCTCAAGCAGTCTGTGACTTGCCTATCAGATAATAAAGAGCCTGAAGAAGGTCGTAATCAAATTCTTTCCGACTTAGCATTAAGTGATACGGAAAGCGAAGAAAGAGAAGCGATTATACCCTCATTTGAACTTAATCTAATTAATCAATCTAGAAGCCAAAGCCTTAGTGACGACGATGAATCCGACGATCCTGTACTTGTGATCGTTGAGGAAGTTTCCGATGCTACCAATGCAAATAATTTTGTAATAACTTATGGAACTAGAAACTCCCAATCACCTAACAAAGATCCTTTACAGCAAAGTGGCAGCGATACTGACATTTCCACCTTGCTGGAGAGTGCAGTTATGGATGATTTATTGGCCAATTCGTCAACTCAAAAACTTTTCAATAGCATATTGGGTGAGTCGCCAAATGAGAAAATGCAAGCAATAACACCACGCAGGCGTGGTCGAAAGCGCAATAGTGAAGCATCCGTCGTAAGTTTTTGCAAGCGGTCGGAACGTTTGCGTGCAAAGCATGACGAAACTACGCAGCTCACCAGTGATGAGTCTTTGTCATCGCCAGCAAAGTATTCACATAGCAGACAACATTCCCCAGAACCGAGCGGCGTTAATGGTATTTGCGATGATGTTTCGGGGAATTGTTATAATAGTAGCCCAAGGAAACCGCCGCATAAAAAACTCTTACATTCATTAACTAAAGAACAAATTAACAAACAGTTCGAACGGTTTATTGAAATTAGACAGAGAGTGAATAAAATAGAGAATGAGGAGAAAGTTGCAGAAGTTCAACATAAGACGGCCCGTACAGAAGCCGATGTCAACGCCGTTTGCGAAAGCTTTCCTGCACAAACCGACAAGCATAGTGATGTAGGATGTGCATCTGTTGAGCGCGTCGCAGACGAAACGTCCGCTTCATTGCGCCCCTCGCCAATGCATGCCACAACACAACAATCAGAACCTTCCTGCTCCGGCGCTCTTCCATCGCTCGAGGCTAGCGATCAGCCATCTACCTATTGTCTATCAAATACTTCCTGCCACAAATCAGAACAGTGTCCAAAGAACGACGCGCACATTAGTCAAATGGACTATGATACGCCATCCTCACCTCCGCCATCATCAAACATAGACGTCATCTTGAACAAAACGCAACCATGTCGAGAAATACCCCTAGAATTGGATATGTCATATTATTCTCACAACCGAAAGAGTGTTTTGCAATACTTAATCTATAACTACTCTTCCGACATTTATGCTATTGTAACGGGGAATAAGAATCAGCCTAAAACGGAAAAATTTGCTGTACAACTCGAAAAGTTTCTAAACAACACTCGCGATAGAGTAGATATTTTGGCATCTACACTCGCGGCATCTTTGCATGAGGAAATTGAAGATAGTCAAGTTATAGGAAGCTTAATTGTTGATCAAATAAGCAAGGCGCCACGTCCTGAAATCGAGCTCGGATGTGAGTTAGCACTCGTTCCTCGTAAATACATTGGCACACATTTGCGGCTTATATCGATCGTTTTGCGTCACTTGCAATATAGACGTGCAGATATTGCCGCTGTTCTTTTAACAACAATTGAGAGTATACTATTTAATTATCGGACACAGGAAATTTCGTTGAGCGCCGCTTTGAATCTCACACAGTTGTATCTACTTGTCATTCCTTTCCACAACAGTCAACTTAATTCGGCACGTCTTTATATCGGCAAGTGTCTGTATTATTACAACGTTAAAGCATTTCCAATGATCTACGAGGTACTCTGTTGGTATCCTACAACGCTGCCGCATCGAGACGAGCCCAATTACGATCACTCCGATGCGCTCATTACAGTTATTAAACACTTTTTAATGGGTATGACTTACAATATGGACAGCGAAGATCTACGTCACAGAGAGCTACTTTCGCTATTACGCTACAGTTATCATTTTGAGCCCTACACACCCAAAGCCCTCGAAGTGTTATGTAATCTAGTGTCAAAACTCAAATCTGGTCACCTAACAAATCTGAAATACGCATTTGCCATCTTTTGCAAACGAAGTGCAAAACTCGTAGACATTTTACTGCAGCAACAACTCTTGCCACTTGCCGATGAGTACTATAAGTTGGTGCAGCATTCAGAAGAATATGACGAGCGCATCGCGGCCTTACTCGAATGTATATCGGTGGTGGTGAAGCCGCTACCGCTGGATACAGATGTCTCGATTTATTTCTCGATATTTGAACGCTTCCTGTGCGCTGTGCACCGCCCTCTCGTACAAGAAGCGACTGTTTTAGCCATATTGCGACTTCAGCGATTTGGTCACAATCGCTGTTTTCATGCACTCGCACACTTCAAGCCCCATTATCCACTTCAAATGCTTACTACTAACGTGCTCAAGACTTTCATTCATAAGCAACCGTTGAAATATTGGAGAGACTTATTGAAGCAGCCGTTAAATAATCAATGCTAATATTTGTATGGACATTTTAGTTGTGTAATCTTGTTTTTTGAACTAATTGTATTTGTTGTATTAAGAAAGCACGTTTGTCATTTAAAATATGCACTTTTAATATTTATTTCGATTGTGTGATGTGCTTGAATTAGATGAAACAAGTTGAGAAGCATAATATTTATATTTTTCCATGAAAAAGTGTAGTATTTAATAGTAATAAATTTTATAAAAAAAAAGCCTGAAATGTCTATTAGTACAAACTGTGATTTTAAATTGGTTCCGAAGCTCATATCGAAGAATAATTTCAAATGGAATTGAATCGTTTTCTTCTTCACTATAGTAGAACACGTTAAACATTTTTTATGCGTGAGTTTATGCATTTTTTAAACATTTTTCATTATAAAAGACCTTAAAATAATCTAAAAATTTTAAGATCCAAAAGATATGGCCAAGTCCAATAAAGCACGCCAGTCCTTACTTTTCTGTGCAAACTGAAGCCAATCGGAAACACCAAGTGAAGCCAAATCCTTCTCGGCTCTTTACATTTGCTCAAAACTGCGGGTTCCAAGTTGCATACTTTCAGGGTGGCCTGAAAATCCTCTACATTGTCCCATATAAATAAAAATGGCTTTATATTTATCAATTTAAACATTATTTTACTTCAACTAAAAACATACGTAGGTTGTTGCAAAACTTACTTTACAACAATATTTGATATATGTATGTATATTTTTATGTCTTATAAAATATTTAAATATGCTTATTTCGTATGTGATTAAAATATGCACATACAATTCCAATATAAGATTGCACAATTTCTATCGACAACAATGCCTTTTAAATACATGTGCAAGCGGAAACAAACAAAGTAACGATAATACATTTTGTTTTACATACATATATTGTATAAAACTCTAACCTCGGCGAATTCATAACTATCCGAAATTCGCGAGTATGCAAACGCTTACTTCGAACGTGCAGTTTATAATTTATACTGTTTTATTTTACAATTTACAACGGTTCGAACTGCATTTCGCCCATTTGGCAAAGCGTTTTTACACATTTTAAATTTTATTGTACAAATAACTTAGTTAGGATTTTTTACATGTAAAATGCGTCGTTTAAATATATATATATTTTTTTTCAATTTAAGTAATCATTTTCAATTAGTACGAGTTCCCGCAGATCTTTGAGACTAATACCCAAAGCGAACCATAAGCAAGGCGCTGCCAATTCAGAAGATAACTGTCGGTTGACACGCGGCGTGTTAGAATTAATTTCCTCAGTACTTATTCATTACTTTCACTGCAGTTTACTTATATACTAATTACTCAATATTTCTTCTTAATCTCTTTAAAGCAATGCTGATGCTACCACCATGTGGATGCGTATGCTTGTTCCAGTTCATGCTATAGGATTTTGTTGATCTAAAATTCGATATAGAAAAGTAAAAAAGCAAAGGCATATAAATACATACATATATGTATACTTAGCCTACCAGTGAGCGTCGTTGGTGTTCCTTTTCAAGCGCCACTTGCGTTTGTTGTGGTGAGAACTTCAAAACAGCCGATATCACTTTGACAAGAGTTTCATTGTTACCATTAGCAGACCCCGTTAAATACTGAAATGATAAGAGTATATACATATATAAGAAAAGACTCAATAGACAGAAAACCCGGTTGCACTTTTGTACAAGAGTATTAAAATGAAATTTCTTTCTTACCTGGAACATAATATTTTTTAAGTACTCAAATTCCGTGTTCGCTGTTATGCCTTCGTTATGTTGCATTGACACCTATGTGCGTACATGCATAAATATAGAACAATTATTAATTAGACTAATGTTAGATACATCATCTAGGCTACCCACCAAGGTTTCGTCCAGCTGTCGTGAGAGCTTGGCATTCTGCAGCTTCAAACGTTCATTCGACTGCTCCAATATCAGGTAGTTTTCACACTGTTGTTCAAGGAAAAGGTTTCGCTCAGATACATCGCGGACTTCGTTCATAATTTCACGTAGTTTAGCAGTTAATTCGGCTTTTTCACGTTGCAATAGCTCCTCTTGTTGCGATGCAGACAACGCTTGAGCTGATGACGACGTCGTCACATTATTATCCATAGCATGTGGCGTAGCAAGCAGTTGTTGTGCGTGCATATCAGCACGTAATCGTTCGACTTCCTCCAAACGGTCAACCATATGTTTCGCATTGCTTTGCAAATCTTCTATCTCTTGTTGCAACTCTGTGATTTCGGCTGTAGATTTGTGTTTTAGATCCTCCAATTCGCTTTGTAACGTTTCGTTGATGCGACGCAAATGCTCTGCATCACTAGTTGCAATTGGTTTTTGGCCACTGTCTACAGTTGTCGGCGCGAGTGAGACTTCTTGCAAGCTGCTACGTTCGGCAATTTCAAAGCGCAACGTATCCAACTCCTGCACTTTGCTGTCAAGCTCACTAGTAACTTGTTGTAATTCGGTGCGAATTGTGTCCACTTCCTTCGTCTTAGCGGCGATCTCGGTGGCGTATGTGGATTTGACTCCATCGAGCTCGAGCCTGGTGTCGCGCAATTGTTGCTCTACTTCGATCAATTGGTGTTGCTTGTATAGCAGATCACTTTGTATCGCATCATTTTGCTCGGTGATGTAGTTGGCGTGTACAATCTGACGCTCCAACTCGGCCTGTTCGTTTGTCAACTTTTCTTGTAACTCTTTGCATTCCCTATTGGCACTGTCAATAGCGTTTTGCTTCTCTGTCAATTGGGCATCGTGCTTTTCCGCATTCTCGCGCAGCACATAAAGCTCACACTGTATCGACTTCAATTTCTCACGCATATCCTGTCCTTCTTGTACTTGCGTGGCTACGTTTGCGCGTTGTTCGACCAACTCTGTTTCCAATTGTTTCACATGTTTATTCAAGTATTCGTTTTCAATTTGGAATTGCTCAAAATTTGCAAGTTTTTCGGCATCTACTTTCCGGCTCGCAAGCTGTTGTCGAAGATTTTCGGTTTCTTCCCTAAGTTGTGTTACTACATACTCCAAGCTTTGCAATTGCAGCTCATTTTTATTCTGTAATTTATCCATATCGACTTGGATCGCATCATTGCTTTCGTGCAATCGCTCTATGTCGCTATTAGCAGAACTTAGCTGCTCCTCCAGCTCATTAATTCTTTTGTTAGCCAACTCTGCACTACCTGTGGCTTCGACGCGTAACTTCTTTTCCATTTCTAGCTGCTTTTGCAGTTCTGCCGCCGTGTTACCCAGCCTTTCGCTTAGACCATTTGCATTTTGCATTTGTTGTTTTAATGATTCTAATTCCGTTTCTTTATTTTTCGCTTCTTCGCCATACGTTTTTGATTGCTCTTTCAATCTTTCAAACTCATCTTTCAATAACTTCAGTTCTTGTTCATTTTCTGCCTTTTCTCTGGCCAATACCTGCAACTGAGACACTTTCGCCTCAAGCTCTTGGCAAACTTGCCGACTCTGTTGCAGTTCGGTTGTTAAAATGCTCAAATCTTGGTTCAATTCGGCATTTTGAGCTTTTAGTAATTCGCGTTCTTCCCTCGCGTGCTCCAAATTTTCGAACGTCGTTCGCAATTGCACTATATCCTGTTTCAACTGTAGTTTCTCTTCGTTTGCTATTTCTAGGTTCGCTTTCGCCGCTTTCTCCTTATCAATCAACTCGTTTTCCAATTCTTCGATACGACGTTTTTGTTCCCTCATTAGACTCTGCAATTTTTCATCATCTGATTGTGTTGCTCTAAGCTCATTCAATTCTGCGCTTAGTGCCTGTTTCTCTCTTTCCAAACGCTCTCTAGAATTTGCCATCTCCTTAAGTTCTTCCTCATATGCTTCGGCATTCTTTTTCTCTTCAGCATATTTTTCCTCTACTTGCTGTAACTGTTCGACAGTTTCCCGTAATTTAGTTTCCAACACCAACTTTCGTTCCCTGAGTTGATCCAGATCTTCTTGTATAGACGTCTGGGCGTCCTCTGCCAGCAACTTTTCCTTTTCCAATGCATTTAATTTATCTTGCAATGTACGGTAATCGTGATCCATTAGCTCTTGTGTATTGTGTAATCGAGAATTTTCGTCCAGAACCTGCGACATTTTCTCGTTTATTTTCTGCAGAGCTGTCTCCGCCGAATCTAGTTTAAAGCGCAACTCATTTGCATTTGCCTCTTCTGTGTCTTTCTGGCGCTCTCGCTCTGCAAGTTGCTTCTCAAGCCTATTGTTTAGCTCTTCTAATAGGCAATTTCGTTCTGCTAATTGTGAATTCTCGGTCTCGACTTTCTGTAACTTTGTCTCAACCTGCCGCAACTTGTCTTCAGCATCAGCTAATTGCTCGAGCCCACGTTGACTGCCATCACTGGCATTCTGCGCCTCCCTTTGCATACTCTCAATCTTAGTCTCCAATTTTAACTTTTCCACTTCCAAATCAGCGTGCGATGATTTCACAACGCGCATCTCTTCTTGCATTAGCGCTATATCTTTCAGTATACTTTGCACTTGTGCCTTTAGTCTAGCTTTCTCCGCTTCTGCCCGCTGTTCACGTGCACCAGACTCAGTTTGTAAATTGCTGAGATGTTGCTCGTGTTTATTCAGCTCTGTGCGGAGCATTTCAATTTCGTCGCTTTGCTCTTGTATACGCTTCTGTTGAATTTCGAATTGCTTCTTCTGTTTCGCCAATTTGTTTGATACTGATTTTAATTCCTTTTCTTTATTGAAGAGCTGCTCCTTCAAAGTCCTCACTGTTTCAGTCATTTCTTCATTGGCCTTGTGCAGTTCTGCTTTGAGTGCAGCAATCGTTTCGCTCTCATTTTGCGAATTTCGATCATTTGATATCTTCAACTCTGAACCTAGTTGTTCCACTATTTGTATCTGTACATCCCTTTCGGCTTGTGCTTCTTGCAACGACTTGCTCAATTCTTCCTCTCGGGTGAGCAAAGCCTTGACACGTTCCTCCTCCGCTGTTTTTTCTTGCTGATGCCGCTCAAGCAGTTGCTTCAGTGTACGTACTTCTGCTTCCGATTCTTGTAGTTTTCGCTCATTTTCCGAAAGCGTTGAAATGAGATTATCATTTTCATTCTTCGTTCTGTTCAATTCGTTGTCGATTTCGGCTAGCGATACTTCGTTTTGCTGATATCGCTGGACCATCTCATTCAGCTGCGCATTCTGCAGCCGCAACTCGTCCAATTTATTTTCGCTATCCTTACTTGCTTTTGCCAATTTCTCCTCAGTTGTTCTGAGTGTAGTATCTTTCGCTATTTGTTGCTCCTTCAACTGCCCAAGCATATGTTCAGCAGCAATAAGCTTGGCATCAATTTCTTGTTTTGTAAACTGTAAATTTTTGAATTTTTCTCGAAGTTCCTTGAGTTCGTCTGCTTGTCCACTCTGTTGTTTATCCTTTTTCATGGCCTCTTCCAAGTCTATTTGCATTGCGGTAATTCTGGCTGTTAGTTTTTTTACTTCACTCTCTTTACTTTCGAGTTCTGAATAAATGGCTTGTTTTGTTTGCGCCAACAGCAGTGCATTCTCTTCCTCCTGTTTACGTAATTGAGCTATAGTTTCTTCAGCATTCATCATGTTTGTTGTCAGCTCTTCGATTTTACTTTGACGCTCCCCTAATTCTTTTTCTAATTGAGCCAAATGCCGGGCATCTTTTTCGAAATTTGCACTTTCGAGATTATTTATCGAAACTTTACCAATTAACTCTTCTTGGTTAATCAGATTGTTGACACTATTATTATCGTCTAGATCTATTAGTGAAGCGCCGCCATTCGCTTCGTTGGAGGCAGATGATGGCGCAACGTCTGTCACATTGTCAGGATTTTCCCCTAGTAAATGCAGCTTTGTTTGATACGCTTGCATTTTGCATTGCATATCATCCATTTCCATGCGTAGTGCTTCTTCGAGATGAGCTTTTGCTTGCTGTTCTAAAGAACACTGCTCACGCAGTTCGCTGATGCGACGAATAGCCTTATCTTGCGTTTCCACGAGTACAGACTATAAAAGAGATAACAAAAGCGAATAAGCTACGAACGCAACTAAAGTGGTTAGTTAAGAAACACATGTCTAAACATTTATTATATACCGTCACAGCTGCTCTAAGGATGCCAACGAATCCCTTATTTTTAAAGATATGACTTTGAATTTATATTCTATTTATCTAAATCTGTATAACTATGTAGAGAACTAATTTAGAAAAGGCTGAAACAACACTAAAAGAAAACTATGAAATTATAAATGATGATGAAACTTGGTCGAATTGACCTAATTTTTGTAAAAAGTTTGAATTTTGGACTTATATGTTTTATGTTAATAATGAGCTATTCCTTCATAAAAAATTAATAAGCAGTAGAAAAATAATTATTTTTCTGCCGCTGTATGTATGTATGTATATTATATTTTTACCTTGCGCAACTACATATCTGGTACTGATTGAAAGTTATTATAACGAGTGCTCTATATTTTTTACTTCTAAAATTGGCACAATTCGTGCAAATTATTGATATTCGTTCTTAGGTGAAAACAACAAAAGTTATGCACTTGTTCAAAAATTTCGTTTTTCGAGTTGGTAAGAGTCATAGACATACATACGTAAATATGCATGTTTATTAGGAAGAAATAAAAAACCATACCCGCGCCTTAGCACTGTCGCGTTCTAAATCCTTATATTTCTTTGCCAGATCTGCGTAACGACTGCGATATTTATGGTAGCGATCCAAAGATTTTTTATATGCATCGAAGAGCTGCTCTTTGGTGACCACATCTAGTTTTGCCGTAGAAGCAGTATCTTCCAGCTCACTGCAATTCGACTCTAAATCTGATTGTATATGATACATCTATTGGATATAGGGCAAAATATGAAAGCCATAACATAATTTATATGGAAGATGAATTACGTACGGGAGGTGATTCGTAGGTTGGTAGACGGAAAGACACATCACTGGCTATTGATGAATTGGATAATTTTCGCGTACGGGGAATCGCACCACCCGTTGGGACGGGTCCATTATGAAGCGTACGTCCGGTTACTGCACCCGTTGGCAATTTAAGAGGTTTGTACGGAGAATTTTGCGGTGTATCTGAAAAAAGAATGTATTTATATACATATGTATACAAGTATACTATACGAATAATATAATCCAACTAAATTCCTTACCTTCCTCTGTAATGCTAAAAAAATTTTCGTTGGTTGTCGTTGTCGCAGTTGACTCCGATCCGCTAGGTGTTGTGCTAGCCGACGACGAGACTGCGGCCTATTTTCCATTTTTGGCCACCACAATCACATTTATGGGGAATAAGCAAAATAGGGAGTGATGAAAAAAAACATTAGTTTAAGATGAGCGAAAGCACGAGCAAAAATTAAAGAGAAAAACACAAAATTCCTTCCCCCACCCTGAAGAAGTCAATGCCTCCCCCGCTCAGTCAGAGTAACAATACACTTGTAACAAATTTATTGGTTTTGACATCATTTCATTTGCTTCAGTGGTTATTGGGACTAGTGGTTTGTCGCCTTGTGTTTTCACCAAGGCGAATTTATACAAGGTGGTGTTACTGGTTCCCTAAATTTGTTTTCCCCAGTTACCGCAAATTGTTGGAATTTGGACGGCGACGCCTTCACTTCCTCTATTAGTTTGTTTTTTAAATTAGCAAACATTTTGTATAGTTTTTCTAGTTCTAATTAGACTATAATTTTTTTTCTACACAAATTTTCAGAATATTGCCCACTCTCCGCAATCCATTAAAATACTACGTGTAAACTGGCAAAATACGTGAAAATTAACTGGTGAAAGTAACAACGTTGCAATACGCCAATTTGGAATCGAAATTATCAAAACAAAACTTCAGAATTTTTAAAACAAAGTACAGAGATTTCTAATAATAAGAAATCTACAATTTAGAGCTTTGCATATTCCATCTACATATAAAGGCATTTAGTAGACTCAAAATATGAGGTTTCCCATTGTATATAAAAAGCATTATTTCCGATAAAGATAATTTCTTTTGCCGAATTCTTACCCAATCGACGTTAACACCTAATTGGTATAAATATTAAGATTTTTATATTTCAATCGGTAGTTCGTCGATTGTTATTTACTGTTCGTCCATTTTTATCGTTGGTCGTTAGCAAAACAGTAATAATTAATTTTTCAATTTTTACTTTACGTTAAACATTGCTATGTTCGTTTAACGTAAAGTAAGAATTGAAAAATTGCAAACCAAGAAACGTTAAAATGGACGAACAATGAAGAACAATTGACAAACTATCGATTGTAATAATAATTAACCCAAAATAACCTGTTAGAGGTGCTAGATACAAGAATACTTAAAAATTAATTATTT